GGAGTGAGGGGTGTGTGTGTGTGTGTGTGTGTGTGTGTGTGTGTGTGTGTGTGTGTTATCACTGCTTCAAGCAACAATTCTCAAACTCCACTGCCTATCAGACCCGTATGGAAAGGTTTAAAGACCACCCTTGTCCCTCAGCATTCTGAGACGAGGGCCAGGGAGTCTTTGTGACCTTTGATTTGATGGCTGGTCATCCTGGGGCACTGTGGCCCCAAGGGAACAGATGGGGCTGGGAGCTGGGGTCTACAGGCCCACCTGTCGGGGCATGATAAGTGGGGTCTTCAGTGCCAGTGAGGGCCCGTGGAACCCCGTGGGGCACACACTCACACGTCTCATGTGTGACCCGTGGGTGCTGATTGCCCACGTGCAGGCTGGTTCTCCCTTGTGGCCACGTGATTTGTGTTCTCTAAACCAACAGGACCCCAGCCTCACGAACAGGAGAGAAGGTGTCCTGGAGACATGAGTAGGGTTACGCCAAATGCCACCTGGAGAACCGGATCGAGTGCCCCTTCAGATCCTTCTGTTCTTTTCCTCAAAGTCTCCTTCAGGGGCTTGCTGCATCACCTGCCATCGTCTGATGGGCTGCAATGACAAAGTCCCACAGGCTGGGTGGCTTAGACAACGTTTGTTTTCTCACGATTCCGGAAGTTGGCAGTTGGCAGTCTGAGATCAGGGCTGACTCCTCCCGAGGCCTCTCTCCTTGGTTCACAGGGCCCACCTTTCCCTGCGTCTCCATGTGGTCTTCCCGCTGTACTGGACCTGCGTCTAGAGTTTGTCTTCTGACAAGGACAGCAGGCCTACAGGGTTAGGGTCCAACATATGACCTCCTCGTACCTTAGTTACCCCTTGCAAGACCCTCTCTTCAGATACAGCCACGTTCTGGCATCCTGGGCATTAGAAACGGCCTCGTTCTGGGCCTGGTTCCAGACCCACCACAACAAAGTGAGCAGCACAAGAGAGCGAGTCACAAAATAGTGCGACTATTCTGTCAGTTTCCCTGTGCATAGAAAAGTTATGTTTATACTATACTATAGTCTTCAAAGTGTGCAATAGCATTATGTCTAGAAAGGCCCCATTTACTCTATTAAGTGTGCAATAAATAGCACTATGTCTAAAAAAACCCACCTTGATTACAAACCCTTCATTGATAAGAAATGCTGACCATCCTTGGAGCCTTCAGTGAATCCTCATCTTTTTGCTGGTGTCTGGCCTCCGTGTTGGTCAAAACACAGCATCTGTGAAGTACAGTAAAACAAGCAATGCCTGTATAGGAATTTGGGGGGATACAGTTCAGCCCGTGATGTCATCCATCCTCTTTTCCATCGCCTTTCTACCCCCCTGATTTGTCCCAAACTGTCTGTCACTCTACACAGCAAAGCCACAGCCCAGCCTTGGGGCCTCTACTCCTGCCCCCACCTCTGGAAACTCCAGCAGCTCTTCACTGCCCCTCAAACCCCAAGCGGCTGCAAATCGCTACGTGCGTCTATATGGTGAGAATGTTCGTGATTGCACCAGAGACAGACCAGCGGAGCACAGGCCGGTTCTCTGTGTCCTGTCTGCTTGTCCCCTCCGCCTGAGCACAGCCTGCAGAGCCCGAGTGGGGCCCCGGGAGTGTCGCCCCTGGGAGATCTCATCCTCCGCCTCTGAGCCCCCAACCAGACAGGCGTCCCCGGAGAGGGTGTGGCTCGGCTCCCACACAGAAACTGAGCCCTGCTCCCCTTTCTCTTGGACATCTGCAGACCCCTCCTCCCCTTCTCCCTTTGCCAACCACCTGGGGAGTCCCGAAGGCACCCTGCCTGGGCCTCCGAAGCATGAACTTGGGAGCAGAGAGGGAAGTGGGGGGCAGATAAGGAGGATGCTGTCAGGAGGTGCTGGCCAGCAGATCCTTCATTAGTTTGCAAGTGATTCACGCGGTCGGGACATGGATAAATATTTGTAGCCCATTTCTGTTGCTCTGAAATACGAGTTATTATAACAGAGGTGCCCATCTTTCCATCTGCAGGGGCCTTGCTGTAGACAAATACCTATGGAAAGTGGCTATAAATTAAGAAGATTGACTCCCACAAGCTGTAGAGACTTGTGTTTTTTTGCTGTTTCCTGCTCGTGTTCACTTATGTTTAAGCAGCACAGATGAGGGCTCGGCTTCCATGGGCAGCCTCTGCTCCCCAGTGCTGGTCTGGGGTCGTGTGGCTTTCCAGCCACTCACTGAGGTGGCCCTGAGAAATCTGATTGTACTGGCAGGGAGTGGGACTGGGCGACTGAAGGTCAAGGGGAGGAGGTCACAGTGAGTGGAGCTGAGTTAGGCCGAGAAGAGGACTAACCCAAGTTGGCGTGGGGTGCCCTGCTCTGTACGGGGAGCAGGGGGCATGTGGGGAGAAGGCATCAGCAGACACTTGAGTGTTTGTGCCAGACCCAGGGACTCCCAGCCCAGGACCGGCCAGGTGATCAGACACCAATGTTCCCCGAGTCTCCCTTCCTGCCCCATCCCCCGGCCACTCTCAAAGCCCTTCTCTCAAGTGCTCGGCCCTATTGAAAAGCTGTTGATGCTCCGTGTCCCAGGAACAAAGCAGGATCCCCAGCAACCACCCACGTTGGGGGAAGTTTGAAGTTTCACATCAAGTGCTCTCCCTGGAGGTCGTTTCTCTGTCCCAGCTCCATCTTGAAACACGCTTTCTTGAGAACATGGTCCTCAACAAAGAGCCATGCTCACGGTCTGGTCTTTGATAGTGCGCAGAAGGGCCCCCATTCTCTCTGTCCTGCCCTTTTATTCTTTGGAATGAAGCTCACCCGCCCTGTCCTGGGAACTGGAGAGTGGGGCCAGGACCACGGCGGCACACTCCTGGCATGCAGGGCCCCCGGGGCCGGAGGTGCGGACTCTTGGGTTCAAGCAGCAGCACTGGCTTTTGCACGAGCCTGGTTTTGCACGTGCCCTGTGCTCGCCCCTTCCTACCTCCTGCTCCAAACTCAGACGAGTAGCTTTGGTGCGGCGAACTGGTCAGTTTGGAGAGTAGGTGACGCAAACATTCACAGGCCCCATTAGGGCATTGCTGTCTCAAGGTGACTGCAAAGCAGATGTCTGGAGACTCTGCCAGGAGCAGTGACAGTAGGTCATTCCCTGGCAGTGAGGAAGGGAAAGTAAGGAAGTGGCCCGGAGAGAATTAGAATTGCCACCATTGTTGGGGTGGACAGGCAGGGTGGCCATTGGCAATAGAACGTATGGAAAAGGAAGGCATGGAGGGGCGATGAAAACTCCCTGGGGTGCGAAGTGAGAGAGGGAGGAGGCCACGGAGGTGGGAGCTCAGGGTGCGGCCACCACGGCTGTACAGAAACCAGTGGAGGACAACCAGAGACGGGCTGAGTCTCCCCGTGGCGGGGGGTGTGGCTGAAGCCCTATGAGGCATCTGAGGATTGTAACCACTACCCCGTTTCTCACTGATTTATCCACGTGAGATATTTGGTAGCCACCACGTGGCTATGTCTGTACCTCTAGCAGGTCCTTGGCACCTTGTCACTTGGGGCATTTGCCACGACACAGTGTCATTGTTCTCATGCTGAGGCTCTGTTAGAATCTGGGACCAGTTGAGGTTGGCAAGTTGCAGGGGTCCCCTTGACCAGCAATGGGCCAAGGACACCAGCAGCCACCGCTGGCATCTCAGTTCTGTGCAGTGGCCGCATTTCCCAGTCTGCGGCACCTGCCTTGTGACAGTCAAGGGTCCACTTGGGTGCCATGAAGACTCCTCAGGGTGTCTCGAGCTCAGGACTGGGCAAGAAGATGAAATCTCTTCTTGGAGACGCCCGGCGGGATGAGCTCCTGAACGTGCTGCAGATTCCAGGGTCAAAGTGGAGACTTCCCAGTGCCAGTGAGGTTACGAGCCACCAATAAACTGGGGGCATCCTTTTCTCTCAGGTCACAGCGTGACTCCCCAGGTCCATGTACCAGTCCTGCTCATGGCCTCCAACCAGGGGTGAAGGAAGTGCCTGGGGTGTGAGCAGGCTGGAGGGTTTGGGGCCGGGGGAAGGAGTGAGACTGTCACCGCTAATGGCTGAGGTCTGTGCTGCAAAGGGCAGGGGGAGCTGCAGGTGCCCGGAAAACAAGGGAGGACGAGGCAGAGCACACACCAGGCTACAGCACAGCTCTCAGCCACCTTTCTAATAGCAAGACCCGGAGGCAACCCAAGTGCCCATCCATAGACGAGTGGATAAAAGCTGTGGGACATATACTCAATGGAATACTACTTGGCCATAAAGAAGAACAAACTCTTACCATTTGTGACGGCATGGATGACCTGGAGGGTATTATGCACAGTGAAACAGGTCAGTCAGAGAAAGACACATTTCATGTGGCTTCACTCATATGTGGAATCTAAAGAACAAAATGAATAAACAAACAAAGCAGAAATGGACTCATAGACACAGAGAACAGACTGAGGGTTGCCAGATGGGAGAAGGGTTGGGGGCTGAGTGAAAAAGGTGAAGGGATTAAGAAGTACACACTGGCAGTTATAAAACAGCCATGGGGATGTGTAGCACAGCACACGGAATACAGCCAATAATATACTAACTGTGGGTGGTGCCAGGTGGGTACTGGAGTTACTGGGGGAGGCTCTGTAATTACACACATCTAACCATTGTGCCGTACATCTGAAACTAACATAAATTCAATGTCAACTGTAACTGAAAAATAAAAGAAAATAAGGCACACAAACCTCTCCACTGACATCGACAAGTGTGCTTTCATGTGCTGAAACTCCACACCCCTTGAATTAATGAACAGTGGCAAACCTGTAACGATCTTTGTGCTTCTGACTTTGACTTCTTAAAGAAAATTTGGTCATTTCCTTCTCTTCCTTACAGAATCTGGAGCAGCCACGCGGTGTGTGTTCCCTCTTTGTTCCACTAGGTGGCCCCTTGCGCTCTCAGATATCTGCCAGGCCTTCAGACAGGTGAATGCATCTCATTGGCTCACGAGAGGCATGATGCCACCGGGCAGCCCTTTTTAAGAGAAAAGCCAGGACCAGTGGAATAGCCACCTCTCAGCAGCAGTGAGTGCTCAGCAGCAGACCCCTGTGCTGAGCAGCAGGACCAGAGCTGCAGTTGAGGCATCATGAGCGAGGTGAGTGGTATTTCTACTGCAGGAGGGAAGCCCCGGGCGGGGAGGGAGGAGAAGGGACCTCAGCCAGCTCAGAAAATATGAAGGAGAACACATCAGCCTTGGAACTATTTGCTTGGAGGACCAACACTATTTATAGCTTGCTTTGCAGGGCAAGTGCAGAAACGGATTCAGTCTGCAACTTTAAAAATTTGCCTTAGAAAGAGAGAGGGGTGCGTCCTGGGCCTCCGATGTAATCGAGACTTTGGAAAGCGCTTTGGGTTTGATCCCTCAGGAGAGAAAGCTGATTGTCTGAGTGTTTCAGGAAGATCTGGGCTACTTCCCCGTGAGTGTTTGCTGTAGGGGAACACCTTTCGGAGAGCTAGCAGGCAGGCGACAACGTGGGGAAAGCCGGCTTCTTGGGAAGAGCAGTGGGGAGAGGGTGTCCCCACCTGGCCGGGGGGACACGCAGGCTGTGCCAGTGAGGTCTGCAGTTCCTCGGGTACCAGGGAAGGAAATGCACCTTGGTCGGACTGTGGACAGTCTGTGTGTCTGTCTGTCCGTGTATCTAACACGGGAGAGACTTGGCAGAAGAGGTGTGACAGTTTTAAGTTGACAGTCGCTTCTCTGAATGTGTTTATACAGAATACATTTTGGTGGGGCACACTGATGGGGCTCGTTTTATTTTTTTTAAGATCATATTTTCTTTATTTCTAATGGGGCAGATTTGCATTGTGCATCCCTTCCCTCTAACTCTGCAACTAACCCCATTTTCACTTCTTTTTGGTTGGCACTTAAATGATTTTAAAAAATCATTTTATACGGTCTTTAAAAAATCTTTTATACTCTCTGATTCCCACTTTTTTTTTTTTTTTTGCAGAGGGGGGGTTCTTTTTTGGAAGTCTAGAGTAAAATTAACAACTTCAGAACTGAAATGTGTCTTCACTGCTTTGATCTCTAGGATGGGTGACCTTTGATATAAAGAGGACAGAGAGAAAGAGTGGGCAAAGCCTGATAAAATTTAGGAATGGGGTTTGGGATGGAGCCAAGGGTTCGAGCGAGGGGGCGGCGTGAGGAGGAAGGTGGAAGGGCTGGAACCCTCCCGACAACAACTGCACCCATGGCAGCGGCTCCCGCTGGCCCGGTGATCTCAGCTACCGTATCTGAGTCTCCCACCAACTCTGTCAGGTGGGTGCTGGCATTATTCTCACTGGACAGATGGGAAAACTGAGGCATGGAGTTCAAGGTCAACTAGTTCAAAGCCACCAGGGGGTGGCAGAGCCAGAACTTGGGCTGCAATGTTGGGCAGCCAACTGCTACTTGGATGTTGGTGTCCAAGTGAAGTGCATAAGGAATTCTCTGCACAGCAGGTGCTGGGGAAGGAGGAAGAGGAGGAGGGGGAGGGTGGGAGCCCAGGAAAAGGAGGTGGGGGCCCTGGGGTGGACACAGGAAAAGGAGACTCTGGCCTCCATTTCCTACGCACCTGGGTGGGGGACTTTCAGCTGGACTCTGGAGATTCCAGAACATTGTCTGTGTGAGCTCACCTTGCTTGCAACAAAGAGGGATGGCTGTGTGAAGCAGGTTTTTATACACGACCTGACAGTTTGCGTGGCAGAAGGGCTTGGAAACCAGCATGGTCCTGGGGCCCCCTTTCCTTGATCAGGTCAGCTGCTGGGGACCATCCCAGAGAGGGGGGCCTCTGCCAGCGCTCCTCCTCACCGGCTCAGCCACCCGCCTCTTCTGGCCACCTTCCCAGTCATGTGCTCTCTCGAATGCCCCAGCTCCGAGGGTCCCACTTAACTGTAGGTCCCCAGGGGCAACAGCAGATGCCCCAGACCTCACCCCATGATTGGGGTCCCAACCTCGTTTCTGCTGGACACGACATTAAGGCCGCCCAGCCCCAGCATTCCATGGGACAAGTTGGCAGGCGGTTGTAAGAATTCTCTGCCTTTGCTCTGGGAATCTTGATAAAATCCCACAAGATGCACGGTCTCCCCCTCAGCTGCCCAGGGGACCCTTCCTGCTCCTGCACATGCGCCCCTTCCCCCCCTCCTGTAACCATCTCCCTTCCTGTCCTGGGCAGCCCCGCCCGCTGGCCACCTTCAGAGTGACCAGCCCTCTGGCTGATCTCCCGGTTTCTGGGGGTGTGCTCCTCGGAGAGGGGGAATTTGTCCTTTGACTAAACCTTAATCTGCTTAAAACATTTAATAAAGTTGAACAGAAGCTCCTTTCTGGCCAGAGAACTGGAAACTCCCCCCGCCCCGGCCCTTTCTCCTCAAGCTTTTCTTCAGCTGGACGAATGACATGTGGCTTCTAGTTTTAACAAGTCAGGCAGGGATGGGTTTCGGATGATCTTTATTGGCTCGTGTACCCCACTACTGCAAGGGTCAGAGCCAGGAGTTTTGTCAGACATCCTCTGACTTCAGGGTTTCTTTGCGGCTGGTGGGCAAGTAGTTAGTTCCTGCTCCAGCTGTCAGGCTTCTGTGCCCAGTGCGGAGTTCCTGAGCGCACAGCTGCCTCCTTGGGCCAGTGCAGGAGCCCGGCTGGGTGGACAGAGCCTCCGAGGGCCACGTGCTCCGGGGGGTGGGCTCTGCTCCTCCAGGTTCTCCAGCCTTTAAGGCAACGGAAAGTGGGGGAAACTGAGCCTGAAGCTGGCTTTACACTGGGTGGCTTTACCACACAGTGTCTTCTCTATCCCCAGTGACAATGCTTCTTTGGGGGAATGACATATGATTGAAAAGAGCAGCTCAAGTATAACAAGCAAAGTCAAGTCCAAATTTAGGGCAATGTGAGAGAGCGGAGGTGGTTTGTGGGGGTGTCTAATTTACATTTCGGTATTAAAGTATGTCAGATGTGCCTGGAGCAGTCTAGAAATAAATTGGAGGATAATTCAGCAGGGATCAGAGTGCAGGCTTAGGGGTGTTAGCCCGATCAGAAACCCTGGGTGCCCAGTGGAAGTTCATACACCAGGCCCTCTCTACTCCCTGCTGGGCTCCCAGGCACCTGAAGGATGGGAGGGTCCCCTTTGTGTAGCCACCTAATGTTATCTGAAAAAAAAAAAAAAAAAGAGTCCCACGAGCCACAACAATGAACCTCATTTTCTTAGCCAGGTGTGTGTTTCTAGGCTGCTTTGCACAAGAAGTTATTTAGAAGAGCCAGCAGCAAAATGTTAGTGCACAAAGGGAAACATTTGGAGAGCTGATTTAACAATGACGCACTGCCGCCCTGTTGATGAGGGGGTGGGGGTAGGGCAGCTCCAGTTGCATAATACATCAGCTGACAGCTATTAATTAGAGTGGAGACCCTTCGGGGAAAGCATCCTTGTAAGCCTTCAGTTTTGCCGTCTCGGGTGCCTCTCTTCCATCGGCTTGGACGGGAGGTTACAACTCTGTGCCAAGGTTATGACCATTTCTTCCATCCAGACGTTGGCCACAAGAACAGGACTGTCTGTCAGAGGCGTGGTTTGATCACAGCAGGGACATTTAAGGGCAGATCTTCAGACCCACATATCTGTCCTTAGCACAGAATGAGAAACTACTGCCTTATATACCAAATTGCTACAGAAAGAAGAAAGCGGTGATGCCACGCTGGACCGAGACTGCAGACGAAGGCTAGTCCCACTGAAACCCTGGGGTGGGCGCGTAGGAAAGACACAGTTTTTCTTTTGTCCAAAGTAGCCATCGGTTACAAAATACCATGTGACACAGGTTTGGGGCTTTACCTAATTAGCCATCAGAACACCCTGCTGGTGAGACACAGTCAGATGAAACCGAGCTGCAGGGAGAACAATCATGGTCGTGTGCCCTGACGCTGTCACCGTGAACCGACCACTAGCTAATGGATGGATGGTTAGGTTCGCAGGGAGCTGTGCAGTTCAGGCCAGTGGAGCACAGATTCTGAGGTCACTGCATAACATGCGGGTTTTGCCGCTGGCCCCCAAGGCCTAGCGATGGAAGGTCAAAGGACAATTGAATTTCTCATGTTGTGTTATCCTCATTTGGGCATGGGAAGCGGTGAAGGTCTGGGAAGATTCGGCATGATCCACATGGTTTTGCTGAGTCACTCAATGGAGATGCTCTCTCTACTCTAACCGGAGATACGAGGTCTAGAAAGACATGAATTCCAACTTGGGTTCGAAGTTCAACTTTTCCTAACCTGGAAGAGGCTACAGTTATGCGTGCAGCCGTGTTTGTGGGGCCGACGAGCGGGGTGGGCCGCCACGCAGCTGGTCTCCCCTTCCTGCACGTCTCACGGGACTCGGCGGTGCTGGGAACTCTCACTGTTTTTCTCCTTCGAATTCTAAGAGCGACAGAGTGCGAGATGTATTATCATTTTTTTCAGAAGGGAAGGTTGGATAATGAGTCACAGCTGATTTTATTAAAGGCTGCATGGAATCCTGCGATCAGGATGACAAGGAGACATGGGCTTTAGTGACGGAGAGCGCCTTGAATTCATGATGAGCCCGTTCTCTGCGTTATTTTTTAAAATTCTGGTTTCTGCCCTCCTGCTTTAGTGGCGGTGCTCTCCTGGGCGGGAGGCGTTCACGGTGCATCTGCAATCCTGCTTCTCGTCCACCGGGTGCACTGTACTCTTTGAATGCGTGAATAACATCACAAGCCCAAGCCTGGGGCTTTTCATTAATTCAGAACGACTTTCTGGAAAGGGCTTCCCACTGAGGGGAAAGAAGGAGTTTCAGGGATGCATATGCACAGGTTTATATTATGTTTGACTGATATTTTAATAAAACACAGCATTAAGGATCATGCTGTTAAAGTATTGCCTTATTCTGTTTGGGCTGCTATAGCAAAATACCATAGCTGGGTGATTATAAAAAACAGAAATTTATTGCTCACAGTTCTGGAGGTTGGAAGTCCAAGATCAGTGTGAAGTAGGGTCAGGCGAGGGCTCTCTTTTGGGTCACAGACTTGTCCCTGTGTCTTTCCTTGGGGGAAGGGGCGAGGCAGCCCTTGGGGTCTTCGTTAACAGGACACTGACCCCATTCCTGAGGGTCCCGTCACCCTGCC